CGCCGGCCCCCGCCCGGCCCCCCGCCGGCCCCGCTCACCTTGGGCAGCCCGTCCACGTCACCCGCGCCTGCAAGGACAAGGACRAGGGCGGGGGTGAGCGGTGGCACCGCGCCGTCCCTCTGCCGACCACCCTGCTCGGGTGGGGAGGGGGACGGGACGTGGCACCGCTGCCCGGGACCACGGTGCGRTGGTGGTGGCCCTAGGTGGTGGCGTGCGTGGTGACCTGTATGGTGGCCCYGCACAATGACTTGCATGGTGGCCCTATGCGATGGCCCTGCGYGGTTGCCCTGCACCATGGTCCTAGGCGGTGGCCTTGCGTGGTGGCCCCGTGTGGTGGCCCTGCGTGGTGGCCCCGCACTTTAGCCCTTATGCAGTGGCCCTATACAGTGACCCTATGCGGTGGCCTTGTGCGGTGCCTCTGCACAGTGCCTTGTCTGGTGGCCCTGCATGATGACCCTATGCCAGTGGTCCTGCACGGTGGCCCTGCACAGTGGCTTGTTTGGTGGCCCTGCACACTGGCCCTGCGTGGTGGCCCTGCATGGGGACCTGCGCGGTGGCCCTGCGTGGTGGCCCTGCGCGGTGGCCCTGCGCGGTGGCCCTGCGCCGTGTCCCTGTGCGGTGTCCCTGCGCGGTGGCCCTGCGCCGTGTCCCTGTGCGGTGTCCCTGCGCGGTGGCCCTGCGCCGTGTCCCTGTGCGGTGTCCCTGCGCCGTGTCCCTGCGCCGTGTCCCTGCGCGGTGTCCCTGTGCGGTGTCCCTGCGCGGTGGCCCTGCGCGGTGGCCCTGCACAGTCCCTGTCCGCCCGCAGATGGAGCTCACGGACCGCAGGCCGCTGCCACGCGCGCTGCAGGGCCAGGAGCGTCCCGGGGACCGGGGCCACCAGTGCCCGGGGGGACGCTGCGGTGTCCGGCGCTGGCGCTGCCACTGTCACAGCACGGGGCGTCCCCAGCGTGTCCCGAGGGCAGCTCCGCGGAGCCGCCCGCTGCTCCCCGCGGCCCCGTGTCCCCAGAAGGGACAGGGAAGGGGTCCCGCGGCGAGGCGGGGGGATGTCCCCAGTATCCATCGCCACCCACCTAAGGATCCATTGACGTGATGTGGCTCCAAGGCGCTCAGGCCACCCATGGGCCCCTCAGGGCCGGGTCCCAAGGGGAACTGCAAGGCAAAGAGTGGGTGAGCGGCGGGGGGGTGACAATGGGACCCCTGCCGGGGTGGCGGGGGTGGGGGGACCCTGTGGGGACCCCGCTGTCCCCGGCACTTACACTGGGGCGGCTGCCGCTGGGGCCCAGGGGGG